CCCCCCTTTTCCCCCCCCCCCCCCCCCAAGGTCCTCAATTCGGGAGCACCAAGAACAGAGATTCCTCTACAAGATCGCTTTAAGTTTTCGATAGCACGTTCCGGCCAGGTGATTCTGGTCCGAGGAACATTTTGATGGGATCGTGTACGCGAGGAAAACGAAGGCACCGTAGGCCCTGTTTGCCGACATCGTGGATATCTTTACTTATTGATTGCTCCGTAGAAATTGGCCGGCGCCGCCCGCGTCGCATCGGTCGATCGTCGGGTTGCAGGCTGACGTCATCCATGCCTTTACGCTTATTGATTTTCTCCTCTAGGCGCGATGCGATTGGTCCATAAAACGGAGAAAGCGGGCACACACGACCCTGGACCACGATGTCGGGTGGCGCGCGCACCCGACACTACCAACCACCAGCCGCCATATTGCTTTTGACCGCCTACCACCGTGCACTACCGGTTTCGATTCTACTCGACTTTTCGAGGGCGAATTCCGTATGCGCATATCTTCGCCGGCTTTTTAGATCGATGCTGAGGACATTTCTCTTCAGGGATATTCTTTGCTGTCGAGTTTCGGAGAATTTTTTACTCGATACCGTTTCAACGCCGGCGGCCATTTTATTCCGGAACTTGGGATTACTATGGCGGCGGGGGGTCCCTTGGCAATTTTCGGTTTTCATAAATTCAAATATTATTACGCGAATTTTGAATAATTCGTTCTATCTCAGATCGATTTGGGAATATCGGTCTCTGGTTTGATGGGCCGCATAAAAGTCTTCGCAATGCGGAATCAATTAATGAAATCTGATCTCGGGACAGAGTATGTATGCTCGACTCTAATCACTGGAGAGTAATCCAGTAGTACACCTTGCTGATAATTCCTCGAAACCGAGTCCTACGGGGCCGTGATAATCAGGACTGATGCGTTTACGATCAATTTGTCATAATTACACTCGAGCTGTCCCCTCTAAGAGCCGCTCGTGTTACACGGCAGGAAATTAGGGCGATTGCGAGCGGGGTAGAAAAAAAAACATTCGGTCGCGGAGGAGTTATTTTGTTTTCGATTAAAATATTAATCCGCATCGGCGTTTATCGCACATAATCCAGGCTACCGTGACGTCGGGGAAAGTAATTAATTCGAACGAACCCAAGGTTCCCTCTCTTGAAAACAAATTACAGAAAATTATCCGGCGAACCTACAATTACGCTGAACAAATTGCACTGTCGCGCTGCAATTTGTAGCTGCAGAAAGACGATACAAAATGGTGGCTTCTATGGAAAGCTGCAAATCGAACGGTTAAATACCATGCAGCCGCAAGGGTAATGTCGAAGGACTTCTCTTGTTTATTAAGGCAACGACAATCAGTAAACGTGGCATGTGTTTTTTTTCGGTAAACGAATTACCGTCGTGCATTCGTTAATAGCAGAAATGGTAAAATACAGAAAAATTTGGAACGAAGATTACACGAACGACCATTTGACCTGTTTCCACGTTCTTGGTATTGCAGTTTATTTCCGTGACTCATGCTCGAGCATTCCATATATCGTTACAGGATATCGAGTATTTTAGCGGGCGATTTCTTCCAAAATTTATTTCAGATTCTAAAGATCGAAGAGAAGATAAACGAGCTCGGTTGGCTTCTTTTTAAAGAGAAACGTGCCGCGAATCGAGTTTTATCTTCGATGAATATCAAATCGTATTTATTATCCAAACAATTGCCCGTTATCGCTTATCTCGTTCCAAAGTAAAACAGCCTCGCGTCTCCACCCACGAGCCTCAATGCCACTTCCTCGAGACCAATTCTTCTCAAGGTTAGAGCGCATGAATGGCAGACACGCGTCACCCTAAAATCGTGTTCGTCGCCGGTGCGGGCGATCCGAAGGATAATGACTACGGAGGGTAACTTCTGCACCGTTCGTCGCAGGAATTTAATGTCCGGTGTACAGACGCGTGGGATTCGGCTGTCGATCGTTCGTTCAGTCTGACGTCATGGATACGCGTGACTCGTTTCGCAAAATCTTTCATTTCATGAGAAACCCACTCGCTCAGCTTTCGTCACGTACAGTTTACATTTTCACGGCAAACATGAGATTTTCTTTTTTCGATAACAGATCGTTGCTTGGCACCGTTCAGGGTGCAATAATTGTTCGCGAACCGATCTCTTGGCACAATTTCTGCAATTATCGTCTGTTCGAAGTAGGTGTTGCTTTTTAGCCTGAGGTTTAGTGATGTTTCTACAATCTGTTGCATAAGCATAGGTATTAAGCGTGACTAACGAAGGGCGAGTGTGCGCGACCTTTGTTCTTCTCGTCAACCCCTATATTTGTATCGTCTTTAGGGGCGATTCGTTCTACTGAATCCTCGGACAGAAACCTTCCACTTGCCCGGGCAGAGTGACCATATTTGATCGTATCGAACAGGTGCAGTGTAAATACGTTTTATCACGTGGTGGGTGTGTTGTTTGCTCGGTCAATCGCAACAGACCGTTTTGTCCGGCGCATCAGCTGTTATATAAATACACATCATCGAAACAGTAATTCGGTGTAATTCTCGAAAATATAAGCGGAGCTCTCTTCTTAATTCCTTCATCTTTATTTCTCGAAGATATTTATTGCAGCTTTGCCGCTGTTATTATTTGAACGAGGAGACTACTTCCACGAAATACCCTGATGGCGCATTTAAGTAGCGAACGACACGGAGAGATTAAACATTTTACAGCTGTCGGGGTAATTTCGAAGTTTTATTTGCCCCGTTGGTTAGATTTACAGAGGGTCGTCCTTCTCCCTCTGTTAATCGATCGAATCGGTCCGCCGCGACGTGCGGGAATACAAGTCGCACGCAACACGTATCGGAAGATACGCATTCGCGACCAGAGAAAAAAGAAAGAAAATTCCGTCCACGTCCTAGCGACGTTTTACGCTTACGACCAGGACTCCTGGACACATTTTACGGCCACTCGATGAACCGAACGAATAAAACATTCCCGCGAAGACAGCGAAGACGTCCCCGAGAAAATGGCCAATAGCGTTTTACCCGACGTTACTCGATACCGGTGCGATCCATATTTTACCGTCCCGATAGCAACAACTCCCGGAGAATAGAAAACTAACTCTCCGAGCTACACAAACGTGCCTCTATAAACCGAGCAGTAGCGATCAACGAATGAATCATTTGATAACTGGAATAAATGGTGTACAATCGTCTGGTCGCGCAGAATTCCGAATTTTCGAGCAGAGACAACTGCTTCGACGGTTCTAAAATAAGGTGGAAACGAGGAGCATTGAAATGTCGGTTTTAGCAGCGTTCTCCGGCAATGAACAATTAAATTCGTCGGCGCGCTCGAGTCAGGTCATTAGGCGAGCGGTCACTGACGTGCCACGGTGTCAGGTGAAAAACAGACGCCCACTTGTATAGTCGCGATCCGCGCAATACCGTTTCAAATATGTAGAAATTGTTGCACTCCGATAAACGTGTTCAATTCGTCGGGATCCGTAACGGCTGCGTATTAACATCTACCCTCCCGGATCTCTCAAGTAGAGGGATCTGGATTTTCAAAAATTCACGCCACGGTTCAGCGAGATCGTGAGTTTATAGTTTACCGTGGCAAGAGGATCCTGGTTCCGCATGTGTGCACATTGGTTTACAAAGAGCAGGAATGAAATTCTGGTACGAAAATAGCTGCACCGGTGTCCGCCGGTGAGCGCAGTAGTGTTGATCAACGATTAAGTCCTCCGCCGGGTTTATTTGATCAACCGGCCACAGTGGTTTCGCAATCGGCGATCGTTTAATGGCGAAAGCAAGTCATAGGAGTCAGGTTTAATGAGTCCCATAAAACGATTACGGGAGTGCGATTGATCGGCGCGTGAAATCGATTTAACGCAGCTTTCTTGCCGCGGTCCCGTGTAATTTTATCGAAGGGCTCTCGATCGAGGCGGCGAATTCATTAATCCCCGCACGGCTCCCTGGGCAAAGGGTTATTTTCAGTTTACAAATCGCGGTGGCGAGAGCGTCATTGCGATTTTACGTCACCGTGTACTCTCCCATTTGCCCAACGGAAACCCGAACCCTGAAACCATTCGCGACTGGCAGCTGCGTGAAAAAGTATCGTTGCGAAATCGGGTTACACTGTGCTATAAATGTCGGCCAAAATCCCGAGGATCCCGGGAACTTTTGATGAACTAGGAGGCGACCTCTAACCGTGCACGTTGATCCGTACGGAGCTGGGATATTCAGTTCATATTCGGGTCATTACTCGAAGTAAATAAATTTGCTCCGCGTTCGTTTTTGTTATTGATCGGATACTGTCGACCATCCCAGTGGTCTCGGAAGTGATACAGAATTCGAGGAAGATATAGCTGAAGCATTGAGATGAATTAAAGATCGTGGGGCTCAGAGACCGTCATCAGATAGATGCATTAGAGTAGAGAGTTCCCTATACAGTATAACATTTGATATATTTTCTTCGCTCGTATCAAGTTCATGTTGAAAATTGTTGTTTGATGTTTACCCTATCGCTGGGAATAATTGGCGAGCCTGGACCGTAGAACAGCCAATTTATTTGTAAGTATCAATCGGACCTCTGTAACAAAAATAATACATGTGAAATAAAAATACAACGACTCTAGAAAACCTCTCCGATTTTCGATGGCTTTCATTCGAAGCTCAATAAAATGGCTAAAACAAAACATACACCAAAATTTGAGGGATCGTTGAAGAATGGAGGCTTCGATCTTCGAACCTATGTCACAATCAGTCACGAGAAAAGTTTTCCAATGCCTGTACAGACGTTTCACACTTTGAAGGAAGAGCGCGTCTCCAGTTTTCCGCTTGTTATATCATACAAAAAGAAAGAAAATGCAACAAAGAAAAAGATACAAGAAAATGAACAATACGCGACGAAAGTAGAAGCTTGAAGCTTTAGAATGAGCCCAAGTTTACTGTTGCACGACCTGTTTTTACGAAATGGTAACAGTTCAAGCATAAAGTCGTGTACAGATTTCCTGGAGCCACGGTACCAACACGGTCTTACAATACAGCACGAAAACACATTGTTCGATAATCGTTGACGAAAATCTACTGTCCGTAGGAATTACATGGTTTCGCGTGCAATGTGCTTCTGCTTTCATTGTATTTCCGTCGATGAATGAACCAGCATTAATTAATTCGAAAGAAAATTGATAAGGTTCGATTTAGGATATCACCCTGGTATAGGTAACCCTCCCCTAATTACCAGGTGACCGGCAGAAGGCGCATGCGCGATAACACGGCCATCGGCAAATGATCGAAGGTGGCGGGGGTGAGCGCGCAGGCGCCTCCAATTTGTTCGTTACTCGACGACCGACCGCCGAACGGAGGTGTCGCAGTGACTCGTTCGTCGGACCAGAGGGTGGCTTAGTAGCACAAGTGCGTGCGGTGTGTATGCGTGTTTGTATGAAAGTGCGCGGGCGGTTACACGCTCGGCCGTGAGCGATACGTGTGCGATCCAAATGCGTTATAATGTCCGCGTACGTGTCCCATAAGATTTTCGAGGACCGTCAAAGAATTGCCAGTGCGCCGACATAGTGACAGTCGCGCGTGTGCTTTCCCGAGGACCCGCGAGCGTCCGCCATTTACAACTGTCACCGTTCTTCCTATCGCCCACCTTCGACAGTGACCGAACGACATCCGTGAACGAACCATCGTCTGAAATTCCTTGGAGCCAAATCGGACCTCAGGTAAGACGAAATCATCGACACGTTTCTCAATGACGGTGCGCACGGATCGATCCGTGAAACCCACGTATCTGTTACCTACGCCCGTCTCTCTTTCTCACTCACTCTCTCTCTCTCTCTCTCTCTCTTTCTCTCTCTCTCTCTCTCTTCTTCTCTCTTTCTCTCGCGGTGCTCTCGAACTCCGTTGGTATCGATTACACAGTGATATTTTCGCTTTTTTCATCGGCCAGCATGATTGTAGCGAAAGATCTCTCGACTCGACTTCGCCGTATAATTCGCCGAGTGTATATCAACGATCAAGTACGATGCTTCAGCGTCGAGCCAGTCGACGACATTTTGTTCGCGCATCGCTGTGCATGCATTCGCGATATTGTTACGAGTAAAATCGGCACACGTTTCCGTCATCTGTGTTTATACGTAAGCTAATACCCGAGCGAGATAAANCGAACCTATGTCACAATCAGTCACGAGAAAAGTTTTCCAATGCCTGTACAGACGTTTCACACTTTGAAGGAAGAGCGCGTCTCCAGTTTTCCGCTTGTTATATCATACAAAAAGAAAGAAAATGCAACAAAGAAAAAGATACAAGAAAATGAACAATACGCGACGAAAGTAGAAGCTTGAAGCTTTAGAATGAGCCCAAGTTTACTGTTGCACGACCTGTTTTTACGAAATGGTAACAGTTCAAGCATAAAGTCGTGTACAGATTTCCTGGAGCCACGGTACCAACACGGTCTTACAATACAGCACGAAAACACATTGTTCGATAATCGTTGACGAAAATCTACTGTCCGTAGGAATTACATGGTTTCGCGTGCAATGTGCTTCTGCTTTCATTGTATTTCCGTCGATGAATGAACCAGCATTAATTAATTCGAAAGAAAATTGATAAGGTTCGATTTAGGATATCACCCTGGTATAGGTAACCCTCCCCTAATTACCAGGTGACCGGCAGAAGGCGCATGCGCGATAACACGGCCATCGGCAAATGATCGAAGGTGGCGGGGGTGAGCGCGCAGGCGCCTCCAATTTGTTCGTTACTCGACGACCGACCGCCGAACGGAGGTGTCGCAGTGACTCGTTCGTCGGACCAGAGGGTGGCTTAGTAGCACAAGTGCGTGCGGTGTGTATGCGTGTTTGTATGAAAGTGCGCGGGCGGTTACACGCTCGGCCGTGAGCGATACGTGTGCGATCCAAATGCGTTATAATGTCCGCGTACGTGTCCCATAAGATTTTCGAGGACCGTCAAAGAATTGCCAGTGCGCCGACATAGTGACAGTCGCGCGTGTGCTTTCCCGAGGACCCGCGAGCGTCCGCCATTTACAACTGTCACCGTTCTTCCTATCGCCCACCTTCGACAGTGACCGAACGACATCCGTGAACGAACCATCGTCTGAAATTCCTTGGAGCCAAATCGGACCTCAGGTAAGACGAAATCATCGACACGTTTCTCAATGACGGTGCGCACGGATCGATCCGTGAAACCCACGTATCTGTTACCTACGCCCGTCTCTCTTTCTCACTCACTCTCTCTCTCTCTCTCTCTCTCTTTCTCTCTCTCTCTCTCTCTTCTTCTCTCTTTCTCTCGCGGTGCTCTCGAACTCCGTTGGTATCGATTACACAGTGATATTTTCGCTTTTTTCATCGGCCAGCATGATTGTAGCGAAAGATCTCTCGACTCGACTTCGCCGTATAATTCGCCGAGTGTATATCAACGATCAAGTACGATGCTTCAGCGTCGAGCCAGTCGACGACATTTTGTTCGCGCATCGCTGTGCATGCATTCGCGATATTGTTACGAGTAAAATCGGCACACGTTTCCGTCATCTGTGTTTATACGTAAGCTAATACCCGAGCGAGATAAAGGATCGATGCGAGGGACCGACACGCTCGACCCGTGGAGCACGGCGATCTTGCGGTGACATCGATCCCTAGCGGACAACAGTCGTTCCGAGCGAGAAAGATCGAGTCACACGCTGCCTGGGGAACACAGCGTTACTCTGATTGGGCTGGAGAACACGTTGCCACGTCAATCGTATGCCAATCGATTGCGGATGACCGAATTATACATGGTTCGAGCGACGACTAATCGGAAATTGGAATTTCGTTGACCGGGGTTACCGCGAAAGTCGAACCTCCCCCCTGCCCCCTCCGCTCCTCTCCCTCTTTCTCCTCCGCCACCTCTTTCTCCTCCTCCTCCTCCTCCTCCTCCTCCTTCTCCTCCTTCTGCCTGCCTCTCTCCGCGTCGTTATCGATTGCAGGCTGCTGATGTTTTTATGTCCATTTCGGGAGCGTAACACGCGCAGCAGTTGAATGTTTTCGTGAAATTGCGAATATTCGGCACCCGACGAAACCTGTACAAGACGCGACCCAGGTTCGTGTTCATCTTTATCCCGCATCTGCGCCGTGTGTTCGAGAGAACGAAAAATTAGGTGTCGGGCATGCCCGTATCCAGGTGTACGAAGGCGAGGTTCACAGGCTAGACAACTGCCGTGAATCTTGACCTCGCAATAAGAACGATATAGCGAGTACGAGTTCGCCTAACCCCAAGATTTCGGGTTTGTTCTAACTTCGGCGAGTTCGTGAAATATTTTGGTAAAAGTGCCAGAGGAAATACGTATAAAAGGGTAGCCTGTCTAAGGTACCTACAGCACGGAGTGTAGCAAGCTTTTGGTTTATATCGATATAATTAATTAATAATAATTAATTAATAATAATAATTAAAGGTAATAATGTATCGTATATTCGATTTCGTTCGGGTTTAATAACGTTCAAGATTTTTGTCCTGGAAGCGAGAAATCTTTCGTGGGAACTGTAGCTTCGTCGTAGAATTGTAGGTAAAGCAGTTCGACGGAAACTTCCGGCTTCGGAATGGTACATAGTCGATTGTTCCGGTTATTTCAGCTTCTCGAGTAGTTCGTACGTTGCGTTTTGTTCCAGTATGTGTCTGTTGTTATCGAATGCAACATTGTTTCAGGGTAAACAGTCGGAACGGGAATTCGTATGACTCGGAACGGTGAACATAGAACGTCCTCCATCTTTAATAACCAAACACAACATTCTCCTAATGATACTATCATCAACAGCAAAAGTCGCGTTATGAACGCACGAATAACAAATCATTGTTGATTGCAAGATTCGCTGAACGTTTTTCATTAAATCTTGTAAATCGCACAAATGTTTTGATTTAATCACAATTGTAACGTAACATGGACTTCTATATTCCACCGTTGATTACTTCCTAGTTTTATTTATAGTATATAGAACACTGTATTACCGGTCTGCAGGAATGATGTATTTAAAGTGTTGCATATAGCCCTACCATTCTTGGTGTACTCGCTCCATATTCGCCAGACTTTATCGACATTTCAGCTGGAGACTGTTATAATGCTTTTCAATATCCGCGTGTTAGAGCAGAGATCGTAACGCAAGGAATATTCAACGGACAACGAGGTCTTTTCTTTTTTTAACTCAAATATTTGAAGAACCGTCCGTCGAAAGGGCATTATCGACTGAAACACGATATCCGATGCCTCGAGTGCCTGTAAAAAGCGATCTGCAGGCGTATTCGGTAGTCAAACTGCTTTTTAATTAGAAAATTAATGCGTCTTGAGGTTTGTATGCTTCGTCGTAAAGTTCTCGAGGAACAACGGAAACTTGTTAAACTTGATAATGTCCGACATAAAATCGACTGAGTTTCTAATTCAACGCGATAATTAGAACGATAATTACAACGCTTCTTACAGAGTTGCATACGGAAAATTTGTATTCCGCTATCAGCGAAATTCAGAACTGAAATAATTCATAAAAAGTCGAAGGGAGACAACACGTTTCCTGATCGTTCCGGGGTTCGTTTAACAATGATTTCGGTGAATCGTGAACGAAATCGATGTCCCGAGGCGTCGTTACAACGATTTCAATCGCCGTTCGCACAATGAAGTAGATTTGTTCAGCGCTCAGACAGACTCCTCAAGTGATTCGTGTCAGCGCGTGGTCAGACGTCGATAGCTTGCAGTTTTTGCAACTCTGAGCCAGGATTATCGATTCCGCGATAGCAATGATATCGTTATTCTCGTACCAAGGATACGTTTATCGACTAGCAGATGTCGTTTTTTCATTAAATTACGGTATTACGTCCGACCACTATTATAGAGCGAATTCCATGAATTCTCCAATGTCTCGAGGGTGAATTGTTCTTTTTGCGAGGCGCCATTGACGTAGGTTAATACCTTGAACGGTGTTGCGTCATCTTGTCGGGTTATTTCTTCGACTTAAATGTCACTTCCGTTTATTTCTCAGATGAAGTAGAGTTGCCTGAGGACTTCCATCCGACAGTTTCCAGAAGGCATTGTCTGTTTTAAAGGGGACATCGTTTTATTCCGTTTTAAACCTTTGCGCGGACATTGTCTACGAATTACAGAGTAACTTCTCCATTTTCTACGATAATTTGGTCCGACGAAAAATTAGTGGAAATAGTTAGCATTGGTCAGACACATTCAGAAATATGAATGCTTTAAATCTGTAAGTGCTGTAAATGTTACGGCTTTTCATAGCGTTATCCGAAAATCAGGCGCAACAACAGTAACACGTAGAATTAATGAAAAAGGTTTGCACTGATCGGACAAAGCAGTCTGTAAAAGTACTCGTGAAGCTTCACAATGGAACATTTGACTCCCGCATCTCATTCTTCTGGTCTCCGATACATTGTTTTCATACAATCGATCGAAATACAGGAGAGTTTCTCGAAAATGAAGCCCTCTAAACGTTTCGATCGACATTATGAAGAGTGTTCTATCGTACACAATGGTGAGTAGAAGTAGATCAAGAGCTTAGAGAGCCAGGTTGCGAAAGAGTCTCTGCATTATGCGCATTTCAAAGGGCCAACTCCTCGTCCAGATTGAGTCAATTATAAAGGGGAAATTTTTTAAAAATGGATCAAGCTATTCCGTATAAATACGGCTTCCTTTTGTCCCCTTTTATCGGCTTTGTTGTTTCTTTTTTGCGCGGTTACCAAACCGGGACCACTGTTCTTTAGCGTTCACAGGCAATCGTGAGTTCGTTGGCAGCATTTAAAGATTAACTAAATTACCCTTTCAAACAACCCTTGATTCGATAGCTACTCCACTTGTTAATAGTACAAGTAACTTCTTTGTTATTCAAACGCAAACTAAGCAAGTACATCATCATTTAAGAATACATTCTGATCATTAAACCTGGACACCGTGATAGACAATTTTTATTTTGCACAAAGGTTTATGAATTATTTTTCACATTGAAGAATCTGATGAATTTCTGTTGAATGCGTCGAAAGGTGACTAAAACCTGTGGCATAATAGAAGGGGGAACGTGATAGTCCAGGAACGAAACAGAGATCCGATCTCCACGAAAGCTTACCGTACCTAGTCGTTCTGATTGCGCCTGAAACAATCGCCTCTTTGCATTGGTTTCATTCTATTAACTCGCTGCGTTTTAAATTGCAGGCATTGTTCCCCCGAATAGTATCGAATTACAAATGAAAGGGTGTTGGAACCGACTCCCTAGAAGTTCTCTCGTGCCGAATGCAACTTATCGATCCTTCGACAGGCCGATTCGAGGCTCTCTCCTGCCGCCAGAACTTTCTGAAACTAAGTTGGCGCAAACACGAAAGTGTTTTTACGCGAATGTAACGCGAGGAGTGTTTAGGGCCGCGGCAGTTCGGAAAGGTGAAATGCAGAAGTTCGAAGATTCTCGATAGTACGTTGCACGCTTCCTGTTTCTGTTCCGTGCTTGGTATCCTTCGTCGAGAACTCGAGATTCGATTCAATCGTTCTAACAATTTATTTTTTTTATCGAAGGCAGTAGCATCGTCTGGGGACAATTCTGTTATAAATGATTCTATTTTCGTACGATTTTCTTTTTTTTTTAATGAACGCCTCTTTTATTGTGGGTCTGAATGGTCTGAAGGATTAATTGTTCGACTAATGTGTCTCTGCCATATGGCCGGGCGAGAAGAATGCGTGGAAATATTAAATCCAGAGCGGTATGAGTCAGCCATTCAGAACACTCTACAGAACGGATGACGCAGATCATTATCCGAACTGCCTTTGCTTCTGGAAAGAATGTACGTGGAAACAAAAAGAGGTGTGCGCGACGATAAAAATTAATGATGTAACGTACGGAGACTATCGAACATTTTGTACTTCGCAGTGAAATTGATCAACCATTGGCCAGGCATGCTCAAAATTCAACGTATAGAAGAGCGAGTGACTGAGAACTTTTTCATTCTCTTGCTGTGTAGCTTAAACTGATCTAGGAAAATGTTCTAGCAACAAAAGAAAAGGAAAATTAATTGATTGGTAAGATTTAAGTGAAACGAGTCATCCAGTGGTCGGACATTCTAGATACAATCATTGCAGTACAATTTATTATTACGTGTAGACTATCTGATACAAAATGGCAATATTCTTCACTACAAATTGTGTGTGTAAACGAGAAAGAAGTGAACGATATTGGTATCTACGTGGTTTCAATGGCTTAGGTCAGCCATTCATTTAGCGATATATGTGAAATGAACTGTGCCGTGTTATTCGTTATTCAGAAACGATTGTACTTTAATTCTTGTCGATAATTATCAACGCGTTTATTCTATTGGATACATTTTTGATATGTTAGATATTGTATTTCTATGCTTATTAAGTATCGAGTCTAAGCAAGGTTCATTCTTAATCGGTTCGATGAATGTATTCAGCCGATCCTCATTATACAAACTAGCCGTGACGTGATTATCTACAGGACAATGTCTCGCGTCACTAATTAATCCACTGAAAGGATTAGTCCGTAAACGACAGGCTAATTAAAGCAAATTCGCAACGTAATTCCGTCTTCGCGAGAAAGGTAACGTCTAATTAACGCATTTTTAAGGCAGTCCTCAACTATCGAGTGTATCGAGAAATGCTGTCAGACGAACCGAAGCCAATAATAGCTCTTACCTTTTTCTTGAAAATATAAATATTTCCTCGATGTTCTTGAAATGTTCGCACACCTCATCGAGTACTTCGATTAATTGCGTTGTCAACAATAGAAATCGATTTTTCTTGCGTTATTTATGCCGTGCTGGAAGTTCAGGAAGAACGGAGCAAAGAAGGGGGGGGGGTTCCTTTTCATTTCAAGACTATGATAAAATAATAAATTCCTATTATTTTCTCGAATGACGCACGTCGTCGTATTTCTAAGCCAGCCTCTCGGATTTTTCGTTTAGTCAGAAACGAAGCTAAAATGAAAGCACCATGAATCAAGATCATTGTCGACACGTTCCGTTCAGGCAAGCGCGAAAAAATTCATCGGCAACCACCGTGCACCTTTTGATCGCCCATCAATTCGTTCGTGTTTATTGACTCGTTTGACGACTGTCCCAGGAGTAGACCGGTAATTATCTCCCAATCCGCGAACCTTTTGTCGGGGATATCGATCCTTGACGCTCTTCATGCACCAGTTATTCCTATTGCCTGGGTAATCGACGTCGCCACGAAATTTGCTGTGATTCGATCAGAATCTAATGAAATATGCCGTGAAATTCGGCGATGCACTACGAACGCATCGATGCACTGCGGAACTTCGCGCAATTGCTGGGGAACTCTATCGGACAAATCCCAACAGGGACTGCTAGAATATACAATATCATTTGCAAAAGTGATTAGATCAAATGCAAAACAGTAATAAGATACGAAACACATGTGCACATAACTCTTGTATGAATACAATTTTTATTTTGTTAGAAACTTCCAGCGACGAAGATTTCGAATAGAATCTATCAAATATGTATGACTTTGTAATCATTCCGTTATTTTTTCCAGTCATTATAAAGTTTTCTGTGACGAGATACCGCGTTGACGCGGGGATTTTGATCAAAGAACATCGTTTTGAAGAAAGTTGGGACATTTAACTAGAATTCGTTTCGAGGTCGATTTTTCGCGAATGACGCGAAAAGAATTCCGCTCAGAGCGATTTATCAGAAAAAGAAATGCGATGATCGGTCGATTTGGAACAAAGGGGGTTGGGAGGATGCTGGAAAACCTTCTATCGGAGATCGCGAGGAGCCATTTTTATTAAGTTTGCTGTGTGGGCGACTTTATCGGAAATACTCGGTTTTATTCACTCGAGGCTCCATAGTTTTTCATCGATGGCCTTATTAATATTAATGAAAAACTTTTTATTGCAGGAATTTTATTATGGAATAGAGACCGCACGATCTTATTGAACGATCTAATAATAAACGGCGAACGAACGCGATACATATACGCTTCGCATTCATTTTATTAATTATGCGAAATCTGAAGCAAGATTTCCTCAATATTTCCATGAAACCCGTAGCACACGATGACATCATTCATTTCAATATAATATACTAAGCTCTATATCTTTTATATTAACATTTTTAATCCAGACAATCTCTTCTAATATTTTTTAAACGTATATATAAAGACTGTATGAATAAGATAGGTCGTTAAAGATGAATTTTAGAGACTGGAGTCAATTAAAAATGTAATAGTCCTTACAGTTTTCTCAACGTTGAAATAAAGTGAGAACGATCCTAAGTTGTATGAAAATAATTTTGCACTCAACTAATATACTCAAAAGTGCAGTCCGATTATGGATGTGCACAGGTTCCGTATACTGTGGCAGCCGTTCATATTTATGAATATGAAGTAGGAGTAAAAGATGGTCCGTTTTAACTGTTACGCGAGAGCTATCCTGAATTCGTCGGGAACGAGGGTCATTGTTTTAATTAATCCGCGAATGCGGGTCACGTTGAATGGGAGAACATGTTCCGATCGCCTGATTTCTTTCCGCGTTGTAGACACCGCTAACGACACCTCTTTATTTCAGAGAAACGAGGAAAAAGTCTATCGCCAGCACCGCCGCCGTCGTGACCCGACGTTGAATTAAAAACAGTAGCAAAATGTCGTCGGTAAAGGTGGCGGTGAGGGTACGACCCTTCAACAATCGGGAGATTTCGCGTGAGGCACAATGCATCATCGAAATGTCCGGCAGCACTACTTGTAAGTATAATTAATTCTTCTCTCCTTTTCTGTTGCGCTCTTTACAGGGATGTTCATTCGAATATGCTGGATTCTCTATCTCTTGTATTCAATGTTTTCTTGTTCTGTCCTCCTTTGTCTGCGTGTAATTAAAAATGTTAGACCTGCCAGCCAGCAAGACACTGTTCTTTCATAATGCAACAATATAACGTTAATTAAAAAAGTTCTTGTTCCCGACTTGTCTAGTAAAAAGAACATAGAATGTTAAAGAACAATTGTGAGCACAGTTGACGTAGCACGTATCCTTGATACTATAGATTATGCTTGGCTCTGGAAACGTTTCATACTTGCAGAAGTATTAAACATTAATTCCCGCAATTATCAATGTAATTAACAAAGCAACCGAAATTATTTGAATAAAATTGTGGTACTCTATTTAATCGTGTTTTTTTTTCTTTGCGTGTTTCAGCGATATTGAACCCCAAAGCACCATCGGGCACCAAAGATGCAGTCAAAAGCTTCAATTACGATTATTCCTATTTTTCCATGGACGTGAGTACTTGCTGCTAGTTGGCTCCATTCGTTTCCAAACTCTGAACTGAATTCAGGATTAGTGAAAAAAAATTCAATAAACGAATGATTACCGTAAAGTTTTCGATCTTGTATCGTAAGATTGTACTTCTCACTGGCATAATTTCAACTTTAATCTAATCAGTAAAAAGTAGTACACATTACGTTAAGTCTACAAGATAAAATCAGTATAAAGATGAAACTCACAGATAGCTTATACTACTAACATTATCAGCTAGCTTGGTTAAGGTCAAGGTTCAATGGCAGTTGCCATTAAAACAGTGGCTTGTAAGGTAATCGTTGGTAGCTATCAGCTTCATGCTCCATAAATTATCCTGTTTTTACATTAAGTGAACGGATCACCAATGCTCTGTTACAGCATAGTCACTGATTCTTGAAGTGATAAAACTAATCAATAATATTATGTACTATCCAAAAATTCTTGCATGATATAATTGGCGGACAATAATAAGTTACGCATTACTTTTGTTGCAGCCAAACGATGGCAATTACTCTTCTCAAATCATGGTCTACAAAGATATTGGCGAGGAGATGCTCGAGCACGCTTTCGAAGGTAAGACTGTTCTCAAATGTCGAGACTGATCCAGGCTATATCTCAAATACATCAAAATCCAAGCATTCCAAGGAATTTATGTCTAGGAATCAACACACCGTCCGCATACCTCTAAAACAGGAATTGGGGTTGAAACCGTGTGGCATTCTTGATACGCATTCACGCTATTGTATACGGGCCTTGTTACGTGGGCACGTGAACAAATATTTGCTTTTGCCCTTTACGGACGATAAAGAAATGCTAGCTCTACTTCCTGTTGATATTCATCTAAAATATAAAAAGTCTAAGATAGACCACAATCAGTCTGAGCGTTTTTACGATTGTTTTCATTGTTTTTTTCAGGCTACAATGTTTGCATATTCGCATACGGACAGACCGGCGCCGGCAAATCGTACACCATGATGGGCAAGCAGGAGGAAGGTCAAGAGGGTATTATCCCCCAAATTTGCAAGGATCTCTTCAGGAAAATAAGTCGCAACTCGAACGAATGCTTGAAGTACTCAGTGGAAGTCAGTTACATGGAAATTTACTGCGAGAGGGTGCGAGATCTATTGAACCCCAAGAACAAAGGGAACCTCCGTGTGCGAGAACATCCTCTTCTTGGACCGTACGTCGAGGATCTTTCGAAATTGGCTGTGATGTCCTATGAAGACATTCACGATCTCATAGATGAGGGTAATAAAGCAAGGTACGTAAAAGTTTTGAAATTAAATATAAAATAAGGTTTCGAAAGTGGAACAGCTGTTGCATTAAGAAGATAGTTGAAAACTCATTAAGCATGAAAGTATCGTATCCATTTCTTATTTCAGAACCGTAGCAGCCACAAATATGAACGAGACGTCGAGCAGATCCCACGCAGTATTCACAATTTTCTTCACGCAACAGAAACAGGACTCGGCAACAGGACTGGTGACAGAGAAAGTCAGCAAAATCTCGTTAGTCGATCTAGCAGGTTCTGAAAGGGCGGACTCCACTGGAGCGAAGGGCACCCGATTGAAAGAGGGTGCTAACATCAACAAAAGTTTGACCACCCTCGGAAAGGTCATCAGTGCCCTGGCTGAAATAGTGAGTCATTCTATTGGATCGACAATTCTGAGAAAATATACAATAATGTTGTAAGAATACGACTTCTGAAAGTTAATGAAATACACTTCCTAAACCATTGCACGTTTTGTCAACTTTCACGTCAGATAGTACACAATTACCTGGCACGAAATTGTACAATTTAACCTTTTGATTCAACCTTGGAAAAACTTTGTATTAACGTAATTCGTGTCTTTTGTCCATTTCGCTGCTGTTTTACTACGGACCATCAGGCGGTAAGTTCATAGATCTGCCGTCCGTCCTGTCCACTTCATTTTTAGTTTAAAATTGATACAATGGTGTAAAATCAATATGGTGTGAAATTAATAGAATAACGAAATATGTTGTTTATATTCTTAAAACGTGTATTTCGTTTGAATGAAATAGTTATTGTGATTTAAAGGGGTTTATTATGTTCTCAGGCGACTAAGAAAAAGAAAAAGGCCGACTTCATCCCTTACAGAGACTCGGTTCTAACATGGTTGCTGCGAGAAAACCTGGGTGGTAACTCGAAGACAGCGATGATCGCAGCAGTAAGCCCCGCGGACATCAATTACGACGAAACACTTTCTACTTTGAGGTACATTTATTGAATATCCTGGTTGTTAAAAGATATCGCTAGACGTTCACATTTTTATTCCCATTCGTATGGGTCGGTTTCGCCAAGGGGTTCGTATTTCGCGGAAACATGCAGTGACCTGAATAAGTCAGACGGAAATTGCAGTTTATAATTCAAAGTACCGGGAACCTGCGGCGTTAAAACTTTCATGAATTATAAATGAATCTTCTCCGAGCATCCTCGGGTAATGGAATATCCATGGCAAGATATTTGTTGTTAGACATCCTGTATTTTCCAGGTAGTGGGTGTTTCTTGTAGAAGTATATAGTATACTGGTAGAAGCGCTTAAGAACTTTCTCCAAGAGATTCACTACTGTTTAATACAAGGCTTTTAGGGTAAGCCTTTAACTCAACATGTAAAGTTGAAAATTATACTGTGTAAATTTTTACTGAGCTGATTTTATCTTTTCCAAGATAGTCTTTCGATTGTTTAGTACTGGACTTGTACAATTGTTGTTGGGACACAAGTTCTTATTTCTATACTGTGTATTGTCTGATTTATTGTTAACTTACTCCACTGCAAGCAGTTTATTTTCTCCTTAAACTGTAATTATAAATGCTATATCTCCAAAGAAGAATGCAATTTGATAATTTTGCGTTATAGTGTGATCAAGTGATTATTTTTTACCTAGTCTGACCAATAACATTCATTTCACTGTGAAGTACTTATTTTTTAGACAGACTTGTGAAATCCGTAACTACAATTTTTTGTTTGTTTGCTTATTTAAAAGAATTTAGACGATCTATACCTTGCATCATAACGTGCGTGAAGTGATTATTTCTTATTTAGCCAGATCAATAACTGACTCAGTTCACTGAGCGTATCCGGGTTCCTGGTACAACTATCACAGAACTTCAACTTCGCGAACTAGTCTAAGTGGTGCGTGTTTTGAGTGATTACGAATGTTACTACAAATTTGCCCCGTCGATTTTCACTACAGATACGCAGACAGAGCGAAACAGATAGTTTGCAAAGCAGTGGTTAACGAGGATGCGAATGCCAAGCTTATTAGGGAGCTCAAGGAAGAGATCCAAAAACTACGGGAGCTCCTCAAGCAAGAGGGTATTGACGTTCAAGAAGGTGAGTTGTTCTTGTTCTTGTACAAGGGGTCGGAATTCAAAGAGAAATCTCCCTTTCTGTGCGCGTGCGGGTACGTCTGGTTCGATAACAGTAGGTATGTGCGAGAAACATGAACCAAAGGCAGTACAACATTCTATTTAAGATACTTGACTGATGAAAAGACTACTTCTACAGACAAACTATTAATAAGCTCCGCTCAATCCGAACCGAAAAATCACTTATGAAAGAGACGACCAATTTTTAACGCATTCAAAGAAACAATTAAAGAATCAAATTAATGTAATTTAAAGATGTTGATGTCTTTTGCATTTTAAGATGTTTTATAAAAAGATTCATAAGAAGTACATATGTGTGCCATTTAGCATTGATACTGTGACGCATATTAAAAGTTAAAAAATGCTTCTTCTGGGTCGGTTGCTCTTTCTGCTTAAAGAAGGACTGCAATTCGATAGATTATTAACTGCATATATTAATAAGAGAACAAGATGAGAACAGTTACCGGAACGGTCGCGTATACGTGCGCGTGTAAGAAAGGATAAAGTACAATATGAGAACTATATAATACAGGAGAGAAGATGTGAAAGCAAAATGTTAAAAATGAAAATAGAGCGCTGTAGGCAAGCCACCATTTACATAGTGTATTTTTTTCTTTGTTTCCCTTGTGCTTGACGTAGGGCCAGATGGTAAAGTCACATATGAAAAGAAAGAATCTAGTAAGTAAAATGACGACAATCCATAAAAGCGGCAAAAACAAACCGTCTCTTGAGTGCCAAACGTTCGATCACTCTTTTTTGCGCCTTGTTCTATTAAACGTCCGCTTCTATCTCACACAATGCCAAGCGCATAATCTGTATTTTTTGTCCGTTTCCGATGATTCTTTGTACATTTTGCTTCGCCGCGCGTATCGCATTCTGTTCTACCCTGTACACGCTCCACCTGGATACACTTTTCCCCTGTCGAGGGTGTTCCTCTTCCACAGTTCAAGGATTATAAAAGTGTTTAATACAATTTCGATTTGTCTTTCATCTACCAGAGTGCACTAACGTGTAAAATAAAATTAAAAATTGGAATTTTTCATAAATATCCACAATCTAATTGTCAGTAGAAAAGCAGCTAATTACAATTTTCATCAGCCTAAAAATATAATGAACAAGAAAGTCTGCACCGGACAGTGAAAATTTATATTGGAAATGTTCTACTACAATTTTTCCCCATCGTATAAAATGCAAATAGCAAAGACGATAATGTAACCGGGGAAGAGTGTAATCATTAGTCCTCCTTCCTATCGTAGGTGGCATAATTGGCGGCTTTTGACTATACCTCATGAAAAAGAAACCAGCAATAGAAACTCTCACCGTGTAACAACAATTACGTACTTAGAATGCTCATACAATCACCTTAATTGGTAACGAACGCATCATCGTAATTCCATTAGAGTAAATCAAATTACAGTCTATTGTGATCATTTCAACTTAAAATGCAACCGGGTCTGATTGATTTAAGCGAACAACCCACGCGATTGTTAGTCGAACGCTAACGCGAAAACCTAATCAAGGATCGAGATTGAACTCACCGTCCACATAAAATCCTATTTGCTGCGTCCTCGAGAGCGTTGAATTGACGCAATCCAGACATGTGATTCATTTTGCAATGTGCGAACCAGGATTGGGCACCATCTTCTTGATAATGTTAATAATTAATAGATGCGATGAGTCACTTTAACGGTATACTAAATCAGATCGATGCAGACAAAGATCATTAGATAGAATTTCAACCCTCGTCCATCCCTTATGTCAAATACATTTTCATTGATCCATCATGATTTTCATCTTACATAGCTAAAGTGTTGATGAGGGTTGAAAGCTCATCTTTTTATGTACTTTTATTGTTTGGTTCCGTATATTTGTACATCGTTAACAACTCTAATTATAGTTTATCATTACAGTTTTGATGTAGTACTTATGAAAAGATTCCTCATACCGACCGCGATGAGATCAACTGAAATATTAAAATAGGGCACACAAGAAAGATAAAAATTGAATTAATATTAAGATGACAGAGCAAATGAGAAACAAGATGAATATTTTATTAGAGATAAAAGTTCGTTAATGTTGAGACAGGATTAAGAAACAAGTAAGATTGAAAATGCGGATTCAAATTTCGACAATGCCCAGCCCTGGTGTGAACTCAGGCTTTCCTAGTTTCTGTTGCGTCGGAGCTCTTCCTCCCAATGAACACGTGTTGTCTGCCTCGCTTGTTGTCCACTTAGACGTATCACTTTGTTCCCGAAACCGGGCTGAAGGTATTGCATGGCACTCGACAGCGGACAATCCGAACGCATCTCGAACGCTATGACATGAGCACCGTTTATTAGAGACTGAAGCGAATGATCTCGTTCGGCAATTAAGTTCAGTAATAATTTGAGATTCGATTACGGTAATTAACCCAGCCACTATGCTTCAATTGTAACAATTTTTGGAGGACATCCCTTACTTGCAGACAAGTTATACTAATATCAAGTTCTTAGACAACATTAGAACTACGAACATGAAAAATGACTTGACCAGACTACATTTATCCAGATTTTGGAGAAGTTTGAAATTACATTTACCCATCTGGTAGTTCTAGTGTTAAGTCTTACATTCAGGAAAGGGCGGTGATAATATTGCATACTTGAATGATTTGCAAAGTAGCTGTGTCTTGTGGATCTCTTGGTGAGATGAGCAAAAGAGATAAAGAATTTTGAATTCCCATTGAAACACAAATCATGGTGACATCATCAGATGGAATCCTTGATGAATATTTTCTCTCACTACTGCCACTGCTTTAGTTATGGCTTTTGATGTTTACAAAACGCGTGTTTACATCCCTGGCTGATTCGTCGATCTAACTTCTAGAGTTCTTCCGATTGATTTTGACTAATTTTGCACTGTTTGTCTCACAGGAGACGAAATCGTTAGAGCAAACAAACGCGAGGACGATATCAAGGAAAGCCGGTCAAGAATCCCGTCTCACACCACGTCAACAATTGCGGAGGAAGCGGTTGATCAATTGCAGGCTTCAGAGAAACTGATTGCCGGTATAACACCATTTAAATTGTTATAATCAAATTACAAGTCTTATGTATTAATGACGCTCGCCAAGATCCTGATAGAATCCATAGGCTTTAACTAAAATATGGTGTTGTAAACTAAAATGAACTTCTTAAGCTTCTGAAAATCTTCAAAAAGGATCTATAAGTGAGTTGATAAAAATATTAACGTTAATACTTCTTGTGGATTTTCAGAATTGAATGAAACGTGGGAAGAAAAGCTGAAACGAACAGAGTTGATTCGTCTTCAACGAGAGGCAGTATTTGCTGAAATGGGAGTAGCTGTGAAAGAGGACGGTGTCACTGTTGGTGTGTTCTCTCCGAAGAAAACTCCTCACTTGGTGAACCTGAATGAGGATCCACTGATGTCCGAGTGTCTGATTTATTACATCAAGGATGGTGTTACGCGTATTGGCAGCGCTGAAGCTAACATACCACAAGACGTTCAGCTCTGTGGCCCACATATACTGAGCGAGCACTGTGTCTTTGAGAATCACGATGGCATTATCACTTTAATGCCAAAAGAAGGAGCCTTGATTTACGTGAACGGCCGCGAGATCACAGAACCAGTCATTTTGAAGACCGGATCTCGAGTTATCTTAGGAAAAAATCATGTGTTCAGATTCAATCATCCTGAACAAGGTTGGTATCTTGATAACAACTAACTTGGTATTATTACAAGTAGACTACAGAACTTCCAGAAAAATATAGTAATACGAATTCAATGTTGAACAATGTACTTAGAATTTAAAGGACGATAAGTGCTTGTTTAATGTGCAGTTCGTGAACGAAGGGAAAAAAGCTCACCTGCAGAAACACCTGCTAATGGAGAAACCGTTGATTGGAACTTCGCGCAGGTCGAGTTATTGGAAAATCAAGGAATTGATCTCAAGGCTGAGATGGCAAAGAGGGTGTTGGTGCTTGAAGAGCAATTCCGTAAAGAGAAGGAAGAGGCAGATCAGCTGTTCGAAGAACAAAGAAAGGTATGCTTAAATAAAATCTTTCAAGACAGTACGAATACTTTGCGATAATTAAATGAATGAATATTATTACAGAGCTACGAAGCCCGGATAGACGCACTACAAAGACAAGTGGAGGAACAAAGTATGACAATGTCAATGTATAGCAGTTACACTCCCGAGGACTTCAACAACATCGAAGAGGATATCTTCGGTGAGTAGACATTACGAATGATCCCTGAATTTCACGGTATTCAGTTTAGCTATTTAAATATGATCTGCCTCTACGATCCTTTATAATTAGTCAGACACACATGAGCAGAGCTGCTGCTATTGTTTCAATAATAATCGTTTTATACAGCTCTGCATGTGAGTAAGCTACGATCTTGTCTAGATTGTACTACCTCTTCGTTAAAAGTGTCAGAATTTGTAATGGATACTCGTTGATTTTTCTTTATCAAATACACTTGAAAATGAGATCCTTTATAGTAGCTGAAGACATGAGTAAGTAATAATTCACCACTACAAATTCTACAGCTGTATGGATCCGTGTGAGACACGATCAGATGGTGGTACGTAAATCTTTATCTTTCTGCGATGCACGCATGTGATTATGTGATACAGTATTCATTATTGTTTCCTACTATTTTCTACAAGGGTTATTCCGCGCAAACCGACCATATGTTAATACACACATGCTCCTGAATTCTTATGAAAGTTTTTGAGCTCATAGAACTCTGCGTATTTTTGAATCTGCTACAATTCTATGAATAGAGTTTCAAAAATATCTAAAATGTGATTATCTTGCGTGGAACGGCCCATAATTTTAAGACCCTGAAGTTTCGACCTGAAACAGTGCATCATCTGATTGTGAACCGAACGCTGTGGCTCCTTTTAACGAAGGAACAAATATATCCACCAAATGCTTGGCTTTTCTGACTGTTTTGCCTGGTAATGGCTTGCATTTCAGTCAACCCCTTGTTTGACGCAGAGAGCAACTGGACCGAGAGAGAGTTCCAACTGGCCGCTTGGGCTTTCCGCAAGTGGAAGTATCATCAATTTACAAGTCTTCGGGATGATCTCTGGGGCAACGCGATATTCCTCAAAGAGGCTAACGCTATATCTGTCGAACTCAAAAAGAAGGTACATCCGGGGTTTTACACCCTGGGAATCAAGCTCAGACGTGGCTCTCCTTTGTCTCGAGTCATTAACATAACTGCATCTACCACCACACGTTTCAATTTTTTCTTTCTTTACGAGCACTTGGCCATAACAAAGTATTCATTTAATTGGCACTGCAAGCGATCATGAAATCAAATTCTTTGCTATAGAACGGGTTTCTTTCTGACATTTTTCACGACTTGCAAAAAAGTTTTTTAATGAATTATTTTTTAAATTTGCATAAAATTGATGTTGTGAGTTAACTCAATTGGTACCCCCTTTTTGATGTTCTGTAAATTATCATACATATATTACTGCAACCAGGTATTGGTCCTTCCATGTTTCCATTTCACTGTAGTCAATTTATTATTAATATTTTTTATTATCAAGTCACTCAGTGTCATCACCCACGAAAGCTTCCACAATTATTTACCATTCCATCAAATGATTCCATTTTTGTTTGTTTTATGTCCCATTTGCATCATTAATTTTGCATCTATTTCAGTGATTGAATGAACATCATTCTTTTATACTTCTTTATTTACTTATGAAATGTTTTTTGTAGGTACAATTTCAATTCACTTTGCTCACGGATACGCTTTACTCGCCACTTCCACCGGATCTTTTACCGTCAATGGACGAAGACGAAGAGGAAGAAAGACCATTCCCTCGTACGATAGTCGCCGTAGAGGTCCAAGATACGAAGAACGGAGCCACACATTATTGGACGTTAGATAAACTCAGGTTCGTTGTCAGTACCATGTCTTGTATTTTAATAACGCTTAACACTTTCATTTAATACCCATAGACCAAGGGTGAGTTATTCAAGTCCCACTGCAAATCTTTATCTGTTAACTGCCACGAAACGTAGACTAAACATTTTTTGGTACTTCTCGTGATTTTTTCAGGAGCACATTTTGACGATTAGCTACTCTTTCAGGCGTTCATCTCCTTCTATCCTTTCAATTGAAAAGTATATTCTCATCCTCATTCTAATGCGGAATACGCAGCCGCAGTTATTGCATTACAAACATAAAAGTAAAATTGTAAAAGCTTACACAGTACACAAATGTTCTCAGCAATAATTTAAGCATGGTTTCTTGGGACAGGGGACACCTGTAAGATACGACTAGTAAATATATTGGGAATCACCTGCTCGGTCTTATATGCCTCGTTTTCGGCTCAGTAAATGAAATTGTTGTAATTAAATGACCGTGATAAGGACGCAGAAATAGTATCTTCGCTTTAAATCAGACCGTGCTTAGACGAAAATGCACAGGGACGCTCACGCAAGTAATACGTGTTGACTTATAGACAGCGCTTGGAGCTGATGCGACACGTGTACAACGAGGACTCGAGCCCCAGCACCCCGGAGGCCAAAGAGGATATTTTCCAATGCCTTACGGTCTACTCTAATCCGAAGTTCTCGCTCGCAAATCTTTTGCCTTCGAGGTTGGTGCTCGAACGCGCGAGGCTCTATCCTTTTTATCGCCACATGCGCTTCATCTATTCATCCTTGAACTTTAACCGAAGCAGATCTCGAATTTGTATCATTTCTTCTTCACCATTTTTCGTTGTGTACATAGAAAATCAATGTATATAATATAATAAACAGGATGAATCATGATAGTCAGGAGACCTAAATATTTCTGGTAGATTTGAAGATGAAGGAAGAAATAACCTTCAACATTTTTTCTACTTTTCATTTCAAAATACATAGAGAAATTAATTTGGGTGTTTTGTTTCTTGAGACTTATCCTGTATATTGTTCATGTATATACATAATCTTGATTTGGAACAAGTTCCTTTTCAGAAAGATACATTGCTTTGCAACTACGCTGGGCTCAATGAAATATTGATGAGGACTTCTTGCATGGCCAAGCCAATGTTGCCAGCCTTTGGCGTTTGACAGTCCAAACGGAATTAACCCTTCTGAGTTTTGAAAAATCAAAATTGTAGAGTAGCATTTTCCTTAGTAATGTTTGAAAAATTCGGTGGTAGTCTCCTAAAAGCGACAGAAATTATTTGTAGTAGAATGAAAAGTAGGATGTCCTTGAAGGGTTTAACTCCTATACATGTTACAATTGCGTCTCGCTGATCAAGGGTTGAACTTCTGTATATGTTTCTACTGTGTCTCGCTGAACACGTGCGCTCCTAGTGGCTGAAGTTCCGTCACATTTTTGCTTTGTGACTTCGTTGTGCACATGCCACGATACACTGCCAAAGAAGCTACACAGATTATGATAATTTTAACAAGTACATTTGATCACGTAGAATATATTCTTCAACAGCTTAAACAATATACGCTACTGTACCATATTCTTCAACAATATTCTATATCTTCCTTTGTATAAAAATACAGGGACAGAAGAAGTGCGTAACTGTTAACAGATCCTCTTAATCTCGTATTTGTCTAACTCTGCATTAAATCATTGTAACACAGGTTCTGGAAAAGCCTGAACATGTCCCTTTATTTAAGTGTACACATTCTACGAATGTCTCTATCGAATCTCTCTAAGTATCTCTAAATACACATCACGCACACAATATTTTCCAAGAAGCTAATGTTGTGTACAGAGTGTCTCCTTCACTGTGCTTTTTGACAACGTCTAACTATGTCTTGATCAAATACTGGCACGTTATATTATTTACCATACGAAACGGTTATATCTTCATGTTTGTGCAGACAAAGGCTTGAACTGATGCGGGAAATGTATCACAATGAAGCAGAATTGTCGCCCACGTCTCCAGATTTTAATATTGAATCTATCACCGGGGGCGATCCGTTTTATGATCGTTTCCCATGGTTCCGAATGGTTGGAAGGTAACAGAAAAGCAGCTAAAAGAGATTTACTACTCACATATAATTAATTTAAGGTATTAATTCTCTTTACTGAGTCACTATTGTTTCTTACAGGTCATTTGTATATCTGAGCAATCTTATGTACCCTGTCCCACTGATCCACAAAGTAGCGATAGTCAATGAGAAGGGAGATGTAAAAGGCTATTTACGCGTAGCCGTGCAAGCTGTAGTTGGTACGTAATCAGTGTCTAGGTATCAGTGTCCAAACAGGAGTTAAATAGAAATTTATTTTTTCTCCTAATGATTGACACACTTTGACTTGAACAACTCGGCGTAGGATTTTCTTAACGAACCCTTCTTCCAGAAGAGGAAAACAGCGAGTACTCAAGCGGCGTTAGACAGTCAGCTAGAATTTCCTTCGAGGATGACCTATTCGGCAATCAGAAGCAAAATAAGCGCAACACTCTACTGACTCAAACCTTGGAAAAAAATCGACAGATTTTATTGCACGAGGAACGCGTTGTTGAGGGTCACAACGAGCAAAAGGATGTGAAGGACGAGGACGACATTGGCGATGCTGATAGCGGCAGAGGAGACAGTTCTGTTTCCAGCGATATGAAGGAAGAAGATCTGCCAGATCATTTGCAACCAGGTTCTGAGTTCACATTCAGGGTAACCGTACTGCAGGCAATAGGCATTTCTACAGAATACGCCGATATTTTCTGCCAATTCAAGTATGTGTTAATATAAAGCACCAATGATTGTAAACACTTTAAATATTAATAACGATAATTATTAATGTGTATAAAATTATTGCATACAGTTTCTTGCACCGTCATGATGAAGCGTTCTCAACAGAACCGGTCAAGAATACAGGAAAAGGAAATCCACCAGGGTTTTATCACGTACAAAATGTAAGTTAGAAAAGTGTTCTAAATGCCAAGGGTTGAAACAAGTATTTATGTTTTATTTTTAAGAAGATTCTATTCCTGCGGAATTTTTCTGGAAAAAGATGTTACCCTTAAAAATTTCTTCAAAATGTATGGAATAGATATTTTATTAGAGATAGAGATAGCTTACAGTTTACAATTAAGGATCGAGGTAATCCCATCTAAGCTTTAGTAGACATTGCTGAATATCATCATGTCGAACGATAAACAAGTACCTTTCTGGCCATAGAATTACTTAAAACAATATGAATCAATGCTTTTTAACCAGTCTTACCTTACTTATTTAGATTACTGTGACGGTGACAAAATCGTTCTTGGAGTATCTGAAGACTCAACCAATCGTGTTCGAGGTGTTCGGACACTATCAGCAGCATCCTCTGCACAAAGATGCCAAATTGGAATAGTGAGCATTCAATTCGTTCAGAATTTTTTTTATTCTTTTTTTTCATATTGAATAGAACAGACATTAAATGAACCCTGTCCCTTTTCTTTCTTTTCTCATTCTATCGCCTGCATGCCTGGCGCATACCTTTACTTTAGCATTCATCCCAACAGCGTCAGACAACCACCGAAGAGGATGTTACCGCCATCAATACCGATCAGTCAACCGGTACGCTCGCCTAAGTTTGGAAGTGTGTTGCCGTCACCTAGCACATCGCACGTACATGCGAAATACGACGTGTTGGTTTGGTTCGAGATCTGCGAATTGGCGCCTAACGGCGAATATGTGCCGTCGGTAGTTGACCACAGCGACGATCTACCTTGTCGTGGGCTCTTCCTGCTTCACCAAGGCATTCAGCGTCGCATTCGAATCACTATCGTTCACGAGCCGGCGTTTGAATTACGTTGGAAAGACGTCAGAGAGTTGGTGGTCGGACGTATCAGAAACACACCGGAGCCCGAGGAAGAGGACAACGATTCTTCCGTGCTCTCGTTGGGTCTGTTCCCTGGCGAATATCTCGAAGTACCTGGAGACGACAGATGCATGTTTAGATTCGAGGCGGCTTGGGACAGCTCGCTTCATAATTCAGCTTTGCTTAACAGAGTCACAGCCTATGGGGAACAAATCTTCATGACCATCTCTGCATACCTTGAAGTATGTGTATTTGTTGTTACTATATTTAGCAATAACTTAAAGTGTGATCCGCCATTTGAATTTTCGTCTATTTTTAGTTAGAGAACTGTGGAAGACCAGCTATCATTACTAAAGATCTGAGCATGATCATCTATGGCAGAGATGCCAGAGTAGGACCACGGTCGTTGAAGCATTTGTTCAGCGGAAGCTATCGTAATCAGGAGGCTAACAGACTCAGCGGTGTCTACGAGTTAGTCCTGCGTCGTTCTTCGGAAGCAGGTAGCCCAGGTTTGTCTTGTCTACCCTTAGCGTAGTCCCCAACCCCACAATCCTTCCCTTTCTCATTGATATAATAGTCGCGTACATTTTCTATATCATTTGAAACGATGTAATTGTGCTTTATAGTTACTAAAGTCGGTATTCTGATTTAAGAGAGAGGGAGAGATCAGAATATCTTCTTAAAAGTAATATACAATATCTACAATGATTATTATATCATGATACATATGAATTGGCCATTTTTTCAATTATGATTTATTTCTTTTGTATTACAAAAAGTATCTTTTGGAAACAAAAATTTACATACCATGTAATATTTGATATTTCTTTCATTCAGTACCTACTCCTCTTTCATAATTATTTTTCAGGTGTACAAAGGCGACAGCGACGGGTGTTGGATACAAGCTCCACTTACGTCAGAGGAGAAGAGAATCTCCATGGATGGAGACCACGAGGAGATAGCCTAATATTTGATCATCAATGGGAACTGGAGAAATTGACCAGGTTAGAGGAAGTGGAGCGAGTCAGATACATGTTACTTTTATGGGATAAGCTTTGTATCGACATAGTCCCATATTGCAATAAGACACCACACGATTTCACGAAAGGCGAAAAGGTAATGCCATTGTTAGTATAAATGGCAATACAAAATAAATTTTTCAATATTATATTTATTTGTTCTTACAGGAGGTTTGCAATATGATGGCAAAAGCAACGAATGAACCACATGCTAGCCCAGTGAAGCTCAAACGTTCAACAAGTAAAGACGTTAACGAGCATTGTGAATTAACCGAAAAGGAGAAAGAATTAGCGATGAAATACATCAAACTAATTCAGGGTCGAATCCCAAGCAAAGAACCTATTATTCTCTCTGACGTTTCACCTGGCGAAGACACTATGGCTGATATGTCGGCATCCATGATGTCTTCCGTGATATCGTCCTCGTCCCAAGAGTCAGTATACGCGAGAACTAGTGATTACTTAGAGCAGGTAACCCTCCCCGCATGCCTGAGTGCTCCTGCTAGTAGCGGTTGTCCACGCTTCGTCGCATCGTATTACCTTGACAATAGCAAAAATAGATATTGCTCTCGAGATTCAAAGAAAGCGATACTCTCTTTCTTCATTCGTATTGCGTAAATCCGTTCAAGACGTTCATGGATCAAATTGATAATCAAAAACAGACACACTGAAAATATTTACGTTCCGATCGGCATTCAACTAATCAGAAAGAGTGAAGATAGTGAGGATTCGATTCAATTTGAACATCGAAATTTCTTCAGTGTTTTAAACGAATCGGAATCAGCTCACCTTTTTCATATAGCTTGCAACAACTTTGATTTTGTCTGTACAATTTCAATTAAAACTAATGGTTAAATTCACTTTATCTTTTCGATTCGCCCAAATCTAATTGTGCAATATTACCGGATAGCTTCGCTGATTCAAAGTCGCGCTTTTAGCGCAGTCGGCTTCTATGAACTGCTTACTGTCTACTTGACGATGACTCGAGGTGTTCGAGTCAATGACAACCGCCCAGCACAATGGGACACATGGTCAGGGTGATGCTGGAGTGTTACTTGCAGGCTGCTGGTATAATAGTATGGAGCAGGACTAAGTCGTGCATCCTTAGGTTGAGTTCACCGGAGAGGGCTAGACTACAGGAACTACAGGACAGTATATTGGCAAGTGAATCCAACAACCAAACATGCACCGTCGCACCAGCGCCGTTAGGTTCCTCCTCCCCCTCGAAAGAGAATTTGGTGCTCTACGTGCCAGAAGTTGAAGAAATCCGTATCAGTCCGGTTATTGCCAGAAAGGGATACCTAAATGTTCTCGAGCACAAGACTAACGGCTGGAAAAAACGTTGGGTGGTATGTATCAAGTGGACAACAAGATTTACCAATGCCTGTTTTAACACTTTCACTATCGGAAGCCTATTAACTCGTTGCATTTTTAAAAGACCATTAAGTCCTCGCTGACAGGTAAAGTGTTAAAACTTAATTCCTGGACTATGAACGCATGTATACTGTTGTTGTGTCCAGGCTGTACGACGACCATACGTTCTAATCTTCCGAGAAGAGAAGGATCCCGTAGAAAGGGCTCTCATCAATTTAGCTACCGCTCAAGTCGAATACTCTGAAGATCAATTAGCTATGGTCAAAGTACCAAATACTTTCAGGTGAGTTGATTAACAGAAATCGTGTTAACAAACACATGTGAAAGAATCCTGAATGACTATTTTTTCACTTATTGTTCATTTCAGCGTTGTTACAAAACATCGGGGATACTTGTTGCAAACTTTAGGGGATAAAGAAGTTTACGACTGGCTTTATGCTATTAATCCCCTTCTCGCTGGTCAAATCAGGTAAAATCAAATTGTTTGAAATATTTCCTAGGATGGTTCACCTAAAAGTAGCCACCTAAATATTATGTGTTAAATAAGATATGGAATCATTTTTTATATTTTTCCAGATCAAAGCTAGCGCGCAAAGGTCCGACAGCTGCAAATCTAAATAACGCTTCGCCTGTCGGTCTAGCTCCACCGATAGAGCAACAATCGAACCAAAACAAGTGAGTGGTCGAAACGTTGGCCGAGGTAACAAGCGTCATAACAAAAGCCTCCGAGAAGGTGCTGTACTGGTCGCACTCGGCCTTCGAGTCCCACGATCTCTGTAGCTTTCGATTTTCGGTAGTCTTCGATTATTAAAACGGCTCGGAAAAGCATATCGATCGGCTACCAACTTCGACAGCCGCCGAATATATCTTGACATCTGCTTTAGCGATCGTCCGACCGATCACGGCTGACGATCGTTTAGAGAAGATGGGAAAAGAAGTAAAATCACTAACTATAAACGAAACGTAATTCGTCTTTCGAAACAAATGTTACACGCGTTCGAATTGTATTTAAAGACAACAAATTATTGTTTCGGTGTTGCGAGCTGGGCGCGCGAACCTCTCCGTTCGTTTCATGGATCATTGATCGAAACGTCGTTAAACGTTGACGAGGCACTGCGAACCAAGCGAGCCTGCAATACCTTCTTACATCGTATTTGAATTTCTCGATATTAGTCGATCATACGAAGCGATTCTCTTTAAGCACGGAACCGCATAGTGACGAAGAGGAACGTATTTATGCCTAAATAAAACATTCCTAAGACGATCATAGAAAAGAGACAAGAGATATACACACTTGTAGGTATACCCATAAGAGATGTGTGTGCGAAAGATAGCAAGAAAGAGAGGGAGAGAAAGGGAGATAGACGATGGGACGAAGTAGTGAGATTACGAATTTTTGCGTGTTCATGATTGGAGATTATACACCGAGAAAAAGGGTGCGAATTGTTTCGTACGGGTTGAGTCGGTGAGCGTTGAATAATTCATAGTGTATTCATTTTACGAATTAAGTTCGTATGTGTGACCGTCATCAAAATGATCCTTTCATACCCCATCCTGTCTTGTTTCACATCCTTAGTACGTCTGAAGCCTCGGATATCGAACAACCAAGGAGAGATTATTTTTGTTTTATTTTACTGTGGATACAAATTTGAATTAAATCATATTTTCAATTCGTTTACGTACATTTTCAACGGTGAACGATTCCCAGTATTATTTAAAACCAACTAATTGCATATATAGTAAAGCTTCCGCGTTTTCTTCTTCTATTTATTTACTAATATGATTGCACTAAGTTCTGTGTAAAATATACATAATTATTTAAAGAACGAATATATCTGTCTTAGTCTCAAAGATCGCAGAGTTTTAATCAGAAAAATCCCCCCCGAGGCAAATTAATTTCTCGGTCGTTTATAAAAGCGATGGAGTACACTGAAGTACGCCGCGCTCCTGTTGCCGTTTTTGCTTGCTAACTGTTGTAGAATCTGATAGTTTTATTTTGTTAACTATGGCATACTTATTGTGAAGAACGAGAGATCATAATCGAATAAGTTGTATGCACTCGACGCTTAACCCTTTGAAGCAAGAATTTAGGCGAGTAAATTGATAGGATCATCAGTAATTTCTGTTGCCTTTCAACGTGTAAATTTTTCATTTTTAATATACCTACATGTACCATTGATCGAGTTAGAAAGTATTATATATATATGTTATATATATATATAATAACGTTTACGTTACATTTCTTGTAAAAGTATAGTCACATTTCCACATGTAAATTGTGGTCTTCGTTATTGAGGACACTATTACAGCATAGTTAATTATTTATATTTGTAAATTGAATGTAACTACGTCATGCATTTAATTTATATATTATATGATATAGCTATGATCATAAATTATTGCGTATGTGATATTTAAATATATTATTTGACGTTGCTTTATGAACACATTGTTGACGAGTCACGACATACTCGGGTCCTCATGCACAAATGTTGTTGATCTGCCGCGAGTATGTTCATATATGCACACGCATCAGCTTATGCAGTTGTATATGCATTTTATTACTTTGGCTAATGCATCATGCCAAAGTACAAAATTGTATAAATTGTCGTTGTAGTATCATTTATTTTATTGAACAATGTTCAATTGCTTTATTGAATTATGAAAATAGTCAACGATGCGTGTCATCAGAAGACAACCAGTCAACAATGTGTTAAATAGAATAACGTTTAGTTTAATTTAATTTATTTAAATAATTTTCGTAAAACGGAGATTCAAATGTATCAGTTTTATTAATCTTATCTTTGTGTATTTATAACCGAAGGCTCTTTGGGTAGAAGAGACAGTTTTTAATTATACGAATAAGCGATGGATCATATTACTGTGAAGAGATTAACTATCAATTTATCAAAGTTTGTTACAAAGCAACTTGGAAAATATAATTATAAACAACTTACCAACTTCATTTGCTTTAGAGAAAAAATAAAATTTACTCTGAAAATTGGACAGTGGCTTTTCTTATACCACAACAAAACGAGATGCAATACTAATTTATAAAATGTAGGTAACACTTTCATCTTTGAAAAAATAAGAACAATACAATATTAAATTCTGTTTGGGTTTCTTTTATTAAGAAAGAACAATCATAATACTGTACTGTAGCAATTCCGTATTTTATTCGAAATAAGAAGGCGAATATCGTGTAACATAAATACTCTAAGCGACTAGTAATAGCATGCATAATGCATTTTTCACGTATTCATGACATTTCCGAATAAAACGCATTCAAATCTGAAGAACTGAAGAATATAAACTGAGGACTGTATTTATTCCTATTTTCAAAAAGAGTTAATTATGTATTTACAGCATAAATGCAACGGACGTAAGATTAAAACGAAGAATTGTAAGGTGCATTTTCACAACAATAAGTCGAACGTAATGGGTGCATGACGAAATTATTTAATTTTCCTCTCTTAATCTAGGCGAAAGCGCGATAAATTCTACAAGGCTGTAATAATTACGGGCACATACAGTATTTATAGGTATTACTTATGATGTATAGTAATTAAATCTTAATCTCATTATTTACCAATAATTTGTTACAATGTATGTAAAAAATTATGCGTGTAAGTAAAGAGAAGCTATGCACAGTAATTATCATTGCTTCAGGGGGTTAAAAGTCTTCGTTCATAACGCCGTAAACAATGAAGAAATTGGAAAGTACATACGAAGCTGAAGAGAAAAAGATAATATAAGGTGGGTAAGTGGGTAAACGTAAAATAAAATTGAAACGAGCGTTGCAGATTGAAAAACAAAACGCCCTTGGTAAGATTAATAAGCATTGTTAAAGAGAATGAAACAAGAGATAGAAAGAGAGAGAGAGAGAGAGAGAGAGAGAGAGAGAAAGAAGGTCGTAAAAAAGAGAGAATGAAGAATGTAAGAGAGAGAGAGAGAGANAATTATTGCGTATGTGATATTTAAATATATTATTTGACGTTGCTTTATGAACACATTGTTGACGAGTCACGACATACTCGGGTCCTCATGCACAAATGTTGTTGATCTGCCGCGAGTATGTTCATATATGCACACGCATCAGCTTATGCAGTTGTATATGCATTTTATTACTTTGGCTAATGCATCATGCCAAAGTACAAAATTGTATAAATTGTCGTTGTAGTATCATTTATTTTATTGAACAATGTTCAATTGCTTTATTGAATTATGAAAATAGTCAACGATGCGTGTCATCAGAAGACAACCAGTCAACAATGTGTTAAATAGAATAACGTTTAGTTTAATTTAATTTATTTAAATAATTTTCGTAAAACGGAGATTCAAATGTATCAGTTTTATTAATCTTATCTTTGTGTATTTATAACCGAAGGCTCTTTGGGTAGAAGAGACAGTTTTTAATTATACGAATAAGCGATGGATCATATTACTGTGAAGAGATTAACTATCAATTTATCAAAGTTTGTTACAAAGCAACTTGGAAAATATAATTATAAACAACTTACCAACTTCATTTGCTTTAGAGAAAAAATAAAATTTACTCTGAAAATTGGACAGTGGCTTTTCTTATACCACAACAAAACGAGATGCAATACTAATTTATAAAATGTAGGTAACACTTTCATCTTTGAAAAAATAAGAACAATACAATATTAAATTCTGTTTGGGTTTCTTTTATTAAGAAAGAACAATCATAATACTGTACTGTAGCAATTCCGTATTTTATTCGAAATAAGAAGGCGAATATCGTGTAACATAAATACTCTAAGCGACTAGTAATAGCATGCATAATGCATTTTTCACGTATTCATGACATTTCCGAATAAAACGCATTCAAATCTGAAGAACTGAAGAATATAAACTGAGGACTGTATTTATTCCTATTTTCAAAAAGAGTTAATTATGTATTTACAGCATAAATGCAACGGACGTAAGATTAAAACGAAGAATTGTAAGGTGCATTTTCACAACAATAAGTCGAACGTAATGGGTGCATGACGAAATTATTTAATTTTCCTCTCTTAATCTAGGCGAAAGCGCGATAAATTCTACAAGGCTGTAATAATTACGGGCACATACAGTATTTATAGGTATTACTTATGATGTATAGTAATTAAATCTTAATCTCATTATTTACCAATAATTTGTTACAATGTATGTAAAAAATTATGCGTGTAAGTAAAGAGAAGCTATGCACAGTAATTATCATTGCTTCAGGGGGTTAAAAGTCTTCGTTCATAACGCCGTAAACAATGAAGAAATTGGAAAGTACATACGAAGCTGAAGAGAAAAAGATAATATAAGGTGGGTAAGTGGGTAAACGTAAAATAAAATTGAAACGAGCGTTGCAGATTGAAAAACAAAACGCCCTTGGTAAGATTAATAAGCATTGTTAAAGAGAATGAAACAAGAGATAGAAAGAGAGAGAGAGAGAGAGAGAGAGAGAGAGAGAAAGAAGGTCGTAAAAAAGAGAGAATGAAGAATGTAAGAGAGAGAGAGAGAGAGAGAGAATGTGAAAGTATATATAAATATATATATAAATATGTATATAAATATATGTATATATATATATTTATATATATATGTATACAAATACAGTATATTATATAAATATATAAATAAATTTAATATTAACATAAGCATTTTGTCAAATGTCAAACATCATCTGGAGGCAAGAAATTAATGATGATTTACCTTGTATCAAGTATGTAAGTTTATATACTTGTTTATAAGGTAACTTAAACAAAACCTATTGCATAAAACGTATTCATTTCTGGTCGTTTGCTATGAGAAACATGCATTGATGCTGTAACTTGTATTTATTATTATTATTATTATTATTATTATTATTCGATTTTCGCTAGGCTCACTGTAAGTGGTAACGTGTAATAAAATCGGTCAATAAAAAGCTTGTATGCTTAACGAATTCTTTTCATGGCGAACCCGCCTTACGTTATTTAATAATGTAACTTTTTCCATTTTCATACGGGTGCTGTTCAAGTGCGGAACAAGTACAAACAAATTAAATTGTTTTTCAATTCATTTTATTTCACCATTAAAATTAATCTTACATTAATGATAATTTCTTCGTAATTCAAAGTCCTTGGATCAGTCGTAAGTTTTGTAAAAGCATCTGCCAGTCTATGTACAATTTGTTGATCTGTCTGAGCAGCTAAAATGTTTTGAACAAGCTGCTTATATTCCTCTTGATAACAGAGTATCAAATAATAAAGTGGATTGCATGCTGACGGTACGAAATCTTCATCAATTTGTTGTGAGAAAAGTGCAGTCATCAGCAACTTAAAAAAATACATTTTATTAATATTATGAGTGTTATCCTATCAAGAAGAAACATACATAAATTAGTTACCTTTAAAAATGGTACTAGCATTTGATTTTGCGTGTGATGTGAATATATGTGTTCTGCTAAACGGGAAATTATTTCGAAACACAATTGAGATATTTGGTTTATAGTGACAAACAAACCCCATTCTAAAGATTCTAAAATCGGTCGCATCAATTCGGGGGGTAAATTACATGCTTTGTCAGGGAAATTTCCACAAAAACATAGTATCATTCTATAGTAGCTATAACAAAAATAATCATATATTTATTTAATCACAATATATAAAACTTAATTAAAGTGTTACGATTGACTCGATTATTATAGTAACATATTTTCACTTACAGTGAACATAATATTGGAAATTGTAACAAGTTTATAGTCACTATAGGCATAATTATATTCAGACCACATAAAAAAACATCTACGAGCAATTTCGGCCTGTTAGTACTCTGTGACAAATCATATAACATTTCCATTATAAATTGTATATCTTGGTAATTGCCTTCCTCATTTAGATTGATTTCAAATCTATTATTATTGTGACGCATATAACTTTTCATTGTGTTCAAGAATATTTCATATATCTGCGATTCTTCAGCCTGAAAGTATAAAACATGGCTAAAATTATATAAACATCAGTATCCTTTTTCGTAATATTATTAATACAAACAGTAATTTAAAAAATATTTACCTCAGACAGGTAATGAGGAACTATTACTTTTGAGCATTCTGATAGCAATTCCAAAATTAGTTGTACTATTTGCTGATAATTATGATACAAAGACAGTAAATTAGGAAGTTTCTCTAGTATTGGATACATATATCGAATTAAAATCTTAATTCGATGTGAAGAAAACGATGTGATTTTATGTTGAGATCCCTGTGCAACTCCTATTTTATATTGAGACATTATAAATATGATACATATAGCAGACGATAATATATATTTTAGAAATATAATCTTATCAAATATAAAAAAACAAAACTTACCAATAAAACGTTCTAAAATATCTATAATTTCAAATTTAGTTCCTTCTTGCTGGTAGGACTTTAAAAACTTTTCATCCGAGGTAATTTTTATATACCTGTCTTGAAGTGGTTGTAATAAAGTCTGTCGCCAGTAAGCCTCTTCTTCCTCTATATCTGTAACTATGAATATACATACAATCACTGCTTTTATTAATCCCTTCTTAACATCTGATGGAAAGTCTACTTGATGGTATTGTCCCTTCACTGCCATTTTCCAAATAGGCTTAAATCGTTCAGATTTCAATATTTCTGTTGCTCTGAAAAATAATAATATTCGTACATTTATTCAGTTAGAACAAAATATTTTTTGTATCATTGTTCTATACTTACTTTTTGTGTGAAACAACAAGAGACATTAATAATTTTATAGTTTCCTGCATTATTGAAGCCTCGCTTTTGAAAACATTGATACTATATTCAATTTTTTCTAAAAGAAAGTTTATAGCCCACAATGCACCAGAACTACCTTTTTGAAATACATCTAAGAATGTATGTTCTCTTATAGATATTTCAAAAAGATAACTGAGTGACCATCTGTTCAAAAACCATAGTATAGTACAGCTCAATACAGGGCTTAGAATACTGTCTAAACGGACAAGTATTGCAGTTTTTTCTATAGCGCACAGACGAAAAATATCTGTGATAACGTGTATAACATTATCCACTGACGTCGCAGCAACATTAACGTCTGAAGAACAATTCTCTGATGCTACTAAAAATTGTGATATAAGATTTATATCGATTTTTCCTTTATTTGCCTAAAACATATAATTTTGTATATATTTTGTATATATTTGTAATATTTTAATTTGATCTACTATAGTACGAACCTGTTCTATACAATAATCCTTTATTTCTGTAGGTATTGAAGGAATTTCACCACTAGATTCCATGCAAAGTACATGGCCCGATATGAGTAGCAGCCAGTGTATATCTTCATATAATTTAAATGTATAAGAATTGTTTAATGTACTTAAGGATTCAGTCTGTCCTACTAATTTGTTTAGAACTTCCCGTAATTTCGACGTACGGTCTTTTATCAAATGTGACAATAGTGAAAGAGAGTGATCTAATATTTGTCTTCCAAAACAACCTGTGTCAGAAAACAAATTTCTCATTAACAAAACTTTAATATACAATAATATAAATGTTTCGCACAATAGAAAGAACTCATTGAAAAATGCATGAAACAAGACTTAAATAAAAAAGTTACCAATCATTTGCAATTGCTCCTTAAATCTAATTTTATCATCATTCTCAGTTTCATCTTCCTGTTTGTTAAGGTCTTTCTCTTCTAGATTTCTTATACCTTCTGGTGGACATAAGTGACACTGAACATACACATTAAATATTTGCATAGAACTTTGATTGCAAAATTCATAAGGAATCATTTTTTCACTCATTCTAGTTCTTGACAAAATATCTATCCATATTCCAAACAAGATATCCAAACCCTCCGAGTATAAGCATTCATTTGCACACAACTGTAATAGATAAAATCTCATTAAAAATTATATACATATCTTAACATAATTGTTAAGCAACATTTTGTGCAACTTACAAATTCTTCTTGTGCTGAATTTTCCACATATAGACAGGTTAATCTACATAACTGTTCCATAAATGCTTTCACCACATCTTCAGGTAAAGCTGTAAAATTAGTACTAATAAATTTAGTCAAATCCTTTACAATCTGAGCAATTCCAGGCGCTTCTTGGTCAATAATTTCAATATTTGTAATAAATTCCAAAAATCTCCGAGTATAATTGGAGAAGTATTGTATTTTCATTTCTTTAGATGAAAATACTAAACCATCTAAGGTCCCCAACTGAACTAAACAAATCCTTGCTAAATGAGCTAACTGTGGGTTGCCTCGGATTTTCCAATACAAAGTAAAAAATAAATCCTGTACAGCAGGAGGTAATATTACATCCTGCCAGCTTTCATCCAATCTTAATTGTTCATGTAGAAGATCTGTATGATCTGCATACATAATATGAAATAATTTAAAAATAGGATGTACAATAGAGTTAAGGAATGAAATGTAATTGAAAAGTACTACAATAGTAAAAATCAAATATTTAATTAGGAAAAGGATATTTGTACTTATTATCTGCCAAGTACATATCGTTTCTAAAATTGGAAGTAAATGTTTGAGAAATGCCAGAGTATCATCTTGCTCATCCTTCTTAATCAATTCATCAAGTATTCCAAGGCTAAACTTGAAAATTCGTTTTATAGTTTCTTTTTCAAATGCTTCTTTTTCAGCATAGTGAGTTTCCATTGAGTACCCAACATTTGAAGTTTTTCCATCAAGTTTATATTCTTGCAATACTGCTGATATGAGATTACAGCCTAAAACTTTCTATAAACATTAGAAAACACATAACAAGAAGTACGTAATACATTAAAAAGCAGCATAAATGTCTATAGATGTATTTACTCTTGATAAATCTCCAGTCATTATTAGTTCTTCTACTTCGTCTAAAAATTGTTGCTGTTCTTGCCCAGAATCAGTAAATCTGTTTCTTTTAATTATAATTGCAATAACTTGCAATATTTTTCCTTTAATATATGTGGCCAAATGTGGTTTGTTAATTACATAGTGCAAAAGATACTGTCTTAAGGAATAGATATCTTGTTTGTTTAAACTTGACCATTCTTCTACCAATGCTATTTTTAAAAGACCAGCTGCCTCAAAAAGAATATAGTCATTTGTATTTGTTTCTAAAATTTGCTGACAAAGCTGATATGGAGACTTAGTTTTTCGAAAATTTAAAAAAACTTCATCTGCAGATTGTCGTTGTTCTAATGTAAATAAGTTGGGTGGTGCCTGAAAAAATAACAGATCTATTAATGATACTGTTACAAGGAAATGTATTTTTACAAAATATAATTGAGAATGCGCACACGCACACACGCACACACACACACACACACACACACACACACACACACACAAATTAAACAAAATACCTGTGGATATACAAAAAAAAACATTCTTAGAATTTTACAATAACAAAAAACAATTGTATTGTGTAGTTATACTTGAATTACTTAAGTCATAGTTACACTTAAAATGCTATTTATACCTCTACTAGTTCAGCCAACATATTTAATTTTTAAATTTAAAATAAGCATATACATGTACAATTTGTCTTCGTAACACCAAAAAATCGAAATTAAACAACTGGATTAAACACAATTTAAATAATATACAACTGATATACATAAATCTGAATTGTTTGATACATGTTAGTATTTACAAAACAAATTTGTTATAACCTATAAAGGTAAGCAAAGTTACTTAAAAAAGAATATAATCTTACTAAAATAACTTGTGCAGCTTTCTCTAATTTGTTAATTATTGGTTCTTCCATTTCTAAGAAATTATTTGTATAGTATCGACTCTACGTCGCGCTCTACTCGATAGACAGCGGGAAGCTAGAAAGTCAACAGAAAGTTAATCTCAACCCTGATTGGTTGACTACTCATTGTTGCAGTAGCGTTGCCTTGAGGTAAGGATATATATGTCACTTTAGAAATTTTCATGGCTCAAACTTGACTGACTTACCAACTATGGAATAATAACTACTAATTATTTAAACTAAAGAAGTTTATTTATTATTATGAATGTAAAGAGCGCATAATCTTTGCCGCTTTTAATATAAGATGTAACCTAAAATCTAGTAAGAATCAATTGCTTTTTAAGTAATGATAGTGCCTCTTGTGGCGAGAAAATGAAGCTTTGTTCAACGCCAATTAGTATATGGCAAAACGTTCAAACTGCTAACCAAATGATACCAACAGAGTAATATATATGTATATGTACACATATCCATAAATACATAATACATGATTAATTAAAATTTATAAGTACATCTTAGAGTTCATACAAAATTATTTACAATATCGATCTGCTTTCATTTTACTTCTTCTATCCAAGAGAGTTTCATGCAAATTCCCTTCACGCTTTGCTTTTTCTAATTCTGTATGATTCGCTTTGCTTAGTTTCAGTTTCTTATCCTGAAATTTCTGGAACTTCCTCCTAAAGGAAATCACTGCAATTATCTCACCTGTTATAGAAAATTTATACTTGACTTTGCTTTACTTACACATAGTTCACTTCAACATCCAGTAAGGAACCTTGTTCTTCCTTTGGAATGTCTTTATTTGGATCCTGAGTTTTCTGAATTATACTTCTTATTGTACAAAATTCTGAGGACCCAGCAGTTTTATTTTGACAAACAATGTCATCTTCTTCTGTGAGCGATATGAAGCAATTATTGCTATTTAAAATAGCAAGTTTCTTATCCTGGAAAAGGAATAGATAAGAATCAATCTTATATAACATCATTGTGTTTGTTATTTAGGCGGTTGTTAAAATACTTGAAAAATTGGTTCCCATTGTTCGATCATGCCAACCGCATCACTTCTTCCAACAACAATACCATTCTTATCAACACCTAGATACTTTCCATAGCCAGACTTTAATGCAACTTTTGTTTCGCCTATTGGAAATGCTGTCAAAATTTCTTCTGGAGAAGGTCCATCACCCTCATCATGAGGAGCACCCAAAGTAAATAATCCATTATCCAAAGCTTTCATATAAGTATTATTTCCAAACTCAATTGCCACTGTTCCTGTAACTTCAGACACTTGTGTAGCTTTCCACCATCCACCTAAAAATAATCCTTAATAAAGTACTTTATAATAAACGAAATGACGTTGTAAATATTATTGGTTTTCAAAATACCGTGATTTAAAGTGTCGTTATCATCAGTGGTAGTAACATGTTCTCTTTCTTGCTTTTTAGATTTACGTTTTTTTGATCTATAAAATACGAAAGGAAGATTGTGATATGAAGATAATAACAAATCGTTAAATTAAGAGATTAATTCATACCTTATTTTTTCACCTTTTAAAACCAATTTCCCTGTTCTTACTTTGTCGTATTCGGACATTGTCATCTACTATTCTTACACCAATTTATAATTATTTATTATTACTGAAAATGTAGCGATTGCTGTTATACTTGAAACCGTTTTATAATATAAATCATAGTATATCTTTTATAATATGCACAATTATTTAAACGGCGATAATATTAATTAATTATTTACCATCGAATACTACGTAACCTTAAAAATTCAGACTGTCAAAAATAACAACAAGCATAGTATAAAAACCCCGAACACAACACAATACAACCAAGTCCAATGAAGTGCAACACACAGCACTATCGCTGTGATACTTCAGATGGCGCTAGAAAGTCAAATAGGGCCTATACAAGGTGTTCCAAGAATTTAAGGTTTCGACTTTTTTCATATAGTATATTTATAAATGTAAAACATAATACAAAAATGCTGATATCCATATATTGTGAAAATAATGAGATTGTTTTTGTAAATATTTAAAATACATTCATTTAAATTCAGTTGAATATATTTTTTAATATAAAGTAATGTAAATATGAAACTTGTTTGCCCTAGTAAAAAATTGAAATTACAAATCGCCAATATTTTACAAATGTCGAATTAAAAATAATATACAAGAATCATACAAAACTTGTAAAAATATATATTTTGCATATTAGCTATAGAGTAAAACCTATATGTAACATGAAATTAATAAATTTA